AAGTAAGTGTTTTATTATATTATATAATTATATTTATATATATTTTACATATAATTATGTATATTATTCATTTTACTGTATATATTGAGGTATGTGTTTGTGGTGTTGCTAACTTCTGTCTGTGTGTGTGTGTGTATATGTGTGTCAAATCAAATCAAATCTCTTTATTGTCTCACATCGTGTACACAAGTGTAATGATGGTGAAATTCTTGGCTACAAGCAACAAGATATGAAAAATTAACAGTATACATAAATACCAATATACACATTTTACACAATATACAATTTTTTCACAAGTGTAACGATGGTGAAATTATTGTGTACAAGACTCTGTTCCATGGCAGTGCAAGCAACAAGATATGAAAAATTGACAGTATACATAAATAACAATATACACATTTATACAATATACAATTTTTTCACAATATACAATAGACAATTGTACACAATATACACATTTCCATAATATACACATAGTACACAGTATACTCAAGAGACTTACAAATGTATAGCTTTTATATATGACTTACAGTGATGTATACTGTAGTGTTTTATATTGAAGTTCAGTGCAGTAGTTTGTTAGTGCAGAAGAGAAGATGGAGCTGCATGTGTTCTATGCTATACAGTGCAAGACATGCTACAGTGCTGTCAGAGTCAGTGTGGTGGTGTGTAGATGTGTGTGATTATCGTTTCGTTATCTGGTTCGGGTCCTGATGCTGCGGTATCGTCTGCCTGATGGTAGCAGTGAGAAGAGTTCGTGGCTCGGGTGGCAGGAGTCTCTGATGATCTTCGTGCTTTCCTCACACATCTCTGGGTGTAGATGTCCTGAAAGGAGGGAAGCTCACCTCCGACGATGTGCTGGGCTGTCTGAACTATTCTCTGCAGGGCTTTCTGGTTGAGAACGGTGCAGTGCCCGTACCAGGCGGTGATGCAGCCAGTCAGGATGCTTTCCACAGTGCAACTGTAGAACTGTCTGAGGATTTTTGAGCTCAGACCAAATTTCTTCAGTCGCCTGAGGAAGAAGAGACGCTGGTGGGCCTTCCTCACTACTGACTGTGTGTGAGTAGTCCAGGTGAGGTCCTCGGTGATGTGAACGCAGAGAAACTTGAAGCTGCTGACCCGCTCCACTGGAGTCCCATCGATGGTGATGGGGGAGTGCTCACTGGTCCATCTCCTGAAATCCACCACCAGCTCCTTGGTCTTCTTGATGTTCAGAGAGAGGTTGTTGTTGTAGCACCCACCGGTTAGTCAGGGTGCACACCTCTTCTTGTGTTTGTGTTGGTGTGTGTGTGTGTGTGGCTCACTGGTCCGTCTCCTGAAATCCACCACCAGCTCCTTGGTCTTCTTGATGTTCAGAGAGAGATTGTTGTTGTAGCACCTGTTAGTCAGTTAGTGCACACCTCTTCTCTGTGTGTGGGTGTGTTTTATGTGTTTGTGTTTGAGGTGTTCTTGCTAACTTCTGTCATGTGTGTGTGTGCGTGTTATATGTGTTTGTGATTTGAGGTGTTCCTACTAACTAATGTTGTGTGTGTTGCTTTTTTTTTTTATATCACAGACAATCATCTGACATTGAATCGAGTGAAGTCTGGGAGCCAGTCAGCAAAAAGCCATATATTGAGGGACATGATGACAGCACCTCTGAAAAACATCGTAAAAACCACTACATAATGTGTTTATGCTGCAGTTACAATGTGTCAGCAATTATTGACAGTGAATCTTGGTAAGAAATTGAATAGGTCTAAGTGTAAGCTTTCATTAGAGCCCAAAATTATGACTGTACATTAGTGTTCTTGCTAACTTCTGTCATGTGTGTGTGTGTGTGTGTGTGCATGTTATGTGTGTTTGTGATTTGAGGTGTTTATCTGTTTACAAAAAAAAAATGTAGGCGGATTTTTTATTTTATTTTTCAGTGTGTTCAAAGTTCTATTACTCAGTACCAATAAGACTTACAGTGATTCTGTTGAGGAACACACCTCAAGAGTGTCACCTTTCAAAAGAGACCAAAACCATGTATGTACTCCAAATGGTTCAAGAACAGCATGCAATTTACTTTGGGTATGCCTTTTTTAGGCGTTTTAGGCTAATTTTACAGGAATGCTAAAGGGTTAAGACCTGAAGTGGGTCAGAAACGGTAAAAAGAGTTGAGAGAAAATATGATGCATGTCAGATCTGCGTCACGTTCAGCAGCGACAGCTCTTTAAAGAAAATACAGCCAAAACAACCTAATAACGGAGACTTCCGGTTTAGAGTCTACCATGTGAAGTCGCAAGGTCGGGAGCTCTGCAAACGAATTGCTATATTTACTTTCCACATAAGCTACAACGCATTTTAACCTACTCGTCACAGCTGCTAAATTGTTTTGAGGGATATTTCTGAACTTTACACCTAAATGTCGAAGGCTCCGCAACAGAAAAAGACTGACTCAGTGAACTCTAACGGATCTGCAGAGTCAGCCAAAGATGAAGCTAGCATAACTGATGGTGCTACAATAATGGCAGCGATTAAGTCCTTGGAAGCTGGAATTCACCAAAAGTTTGACGCGCATGCAACCGAGTTCCAAAAAGAAATATCATCCTTGCGAGAAGAGTGCACAATTCACTAACGCCCGTTAGGCCACCACTTTGGCTGAGGGGTCCGCGCACAGCTTGCTAGGCGCTTCGTGTCAGGCGGTTCGTGGACGCTGCGCGCCGCCCCCTAGACGATTTTTCCCGCCCCCAGGCGTGAGCCGGGGCCTGGGGCGACGGATCTGCGCTCTTTTTTGCGCATTTTGTTGCAATCTGTAGGTCGGCCACAGGGGGGCGGACTCCTGACGCGGAGCGCTTACGCGAGGCCTGTCGAATAGGTTGGGGCTGGGCGTCCACGGGCAGCCTAAACCTCCCACGGAGAGCTTATTTGGCCGGCAGCTCCCTATTGGCCCCTCTGGCCGACTAAGGACCGCCCCCCCAGGCCCTGCCCACTGACCACGGACAGCCTATTCATCCCCCTGACCACCTATACGACCATGCGCAGCCCACGCTCCCGCCCGCAACCTAGGTGACACCCCCGGGCCCCGCCCACCGACCACCAACAGCCTATTCGTCCCACTGACAACCTATGTGACCACGAAACGCCTATTCGTCCCCCTGACCGCCTATTTGACCACGAACTGCCTATTTGTCCCGCTGACAACCTATATGAGTAATGCATTGTTCCGTGGACAATGCATTAACAAATCATAATTTAAGTTTATAATCATTTTATTATGCAAAACGTACAGTGCTACACTCGGGAAACACCGTCTGACAAGTTCATATACATTACAACTCATCAATATTCATATTTACCTCAAAAAATGTCTGTCCACGGAAAGCCTATGTAGGTCCCGTCAAGAAAAGTTACAGGTGTCACTTGCTGATGTTGTGAATTGGAGTTGGATTTTGGTGACTTTCACCACTGCATGCCCACCCGTAACTTTTTTGATGGGGCCTCCACAGGCTTTCCGTGGACAATGCATTAACAAGTCATAATTTAAGTTTATAATCATTTTATTATGCAAAACATACAGTGCTACACTCTGGAACCACCGTCTGACAAGTTCATATACATTACAGCACATCAATATTCATATTTACCTCAAAAAAGGTCTGTCCACGGAAAGCCTATGTAGGTCCCGTCAATAAAACTTACAGGTGTCACTTGCTGATGTTGTGAATTGGAGTTGGATTTTGGTGACTTTCACCACTGCATGCCCACCCGTAACTTATTTTGACGGGTCCTCCACAGGCTTTCCGTGGACAATGCATTAACAGGTCATATGTCATAAATATGATGATTTTATTGAGTAATACCAGCTATACAGTGCTCAGGACACGCCGTCCAGCAGTTTCGTGTACATCGGAGCTCATGAAATGGCTTAATTTGCATATAAAGGCACTGTCCACGGAAAGCCTGTGGAGGCCCCATCAAATAAGTTACAGCAGTCACTTGTCACTTGCCCACCCGTAACTTATTTGACGGGGCCTCCACAGGCTTTCCGTGGACAATGAGTTAATAGATCATATGTCATAAATACGATGATTTTATTGGCAAATACCTACAGTACAGTGCTCAGGAAACACCGTCCGGCAGTTTCGTATGCATCGGAGCTCGTAAAATGGCTTGATTTGCATAAAAAGGCACTGTCCACGGAAAGCATGTGGAGGCCCCATCAAATAAGTTGCACGTGGGCACTTCCTGCATGACTTGGCAAAATCGCTGCAAGTGCCCACTTGCAACTTATTTGACGGGTGCCTTCACAATGGGATAAGTTGCACGTGTCAGCGGCCCCCGGAGGCCCGAATTTCACGAGAAGTTGCGTCACTCGGCCCCCGACGACATACCGAGAGGGCTAGGTCGGGAGATGCCAAGAAATATTTTTCTTTGCTCTCCGTACAACTCTCTGTCCCTCATAGGCCTCTGTTCGGGAAGGGCCTGTGCAGCAGCTACTTTCTCAGTGCCCGATTGGCTCGGGAAGCATCTAGGGCCCCTGAAACTCTGGGACCTGATTGGAGGGCCCCCGACGTCCCACCCGCAACTTATTCAATGGAAACTCCACAGGTGGTTCGCGGTCAGGGGGGTCTTTTTCGGCCGATCGGGCAGGTGCGGACACGGAACGCCGGATGCTGTCCCGGGGGACCCTGACGTGACGTATATATCAATTTCGGGGCGATCGGACCTTTCTGTCCGCTGTCCGAGAAACACCTGTAAAAACAAATGGAATAAGTTGCACGCGTCAACGGCCCCCGTTCGGCCCCCGGGGGTCCTAGGGGCCCCAAACTTCACGTGCCAGTAGCGTAGGGGCCCCTGAACAACATATCGTGCGGAAAAGCGTCTATCCCGAACGCAAATCCATTTGTGCACATTTGGCAAAGATCTCTCTCATGGGCCTCTTCGTCACATAGCCCCTATGACCCTCTCGAATTAACCGAAGTGCCCTGATGTGAAAAGTTGGCTGAACTGCAGAAACGCATACTTAGAAGCGATCTAGGACTACGAACCTCGGGACCCCGGGTCGGGGGCCCCTTGGCTACCGCCGTTCCGAATTTTGGGGCCCTGCCACCTTTTGACCCCTGCGTTTCCCACGTCCCACCCGCAACTTATTTCAATGGAAACTTCACAGGTGGTTCGCGGTCAAGGGGGTCTTTTTCGGCCGATCGGGCAGGTGCGGACGCGGAACTCCGGACGTTGTCCCGGGGGACCGTGACGTGACGCATATGTCAATTTCAGGCCGATCGGACCTTTCTGTCCCACTGTCCGCGAAACACCTGAAAACGAATGGAATGAGTTACGTGCGTCATACACAGCCACGCACAGGGAACGCCTAACAAGTTGACGTGCGTCACGACTCATTGATATTCATATTTACCTTTAAAAATGTCTTTGCACGGAAACTGACACCCGTGACTTATTTGACGGGACCTCCACAAGCTTTCCGTGGACAATGCGTTAATAGGTCATATTTCATGAATGCGATGATTTCATTGACAAATACCTACAGTACAGTGCTCAGGAAACACCGTCCGGCAGTTTCGTGTGCATCGGAGCTCGTAAAATGGCTTATTTTGCAGGACCACCTCTAACTTATTTGACTTGCTTTTTTTTTAATGGGATAGATTGTACGTGGGACGTCCAGAATCTCGGCTTCTGGACGAGCTGTCCAGCTCAAACCCTGTTCCGTGGCTACTCTGGACACGCCCTGTCCATGCTGTGAATTGCAACAAGATCCGAGAAACTCGATATATTTACACTTCCCTAAAAGGGGTAACTTCAGAAGTGAAAGTGCACGAGGAGAGACTAACTAGCCTTGAAAATGCGACATCAGTGTGGACGACTAGTCTGCAGTTACTTGAACCGACTGTGGCCTCCTTACGGAACGAGATTGCGGCTCTTCAGGCCAAGTGCACAGATCTGGAATGTCGCTCTCGCAGAAGCAGTTTGCGTCTTGTGGGTATTCCTGAGAGTATGGAGGGCACGCAGCCCACAGAATTCATTGGAGAAGCACTGCAAGAAATATTCAGCCTTCGTGAACCTCCGCTTCTTGCCCGAGCCCATCGTACGCTGGCAGTGCGTCCCGCGGAGGGTCAGCAGCCACGGGCGTTTGTCATATGCTTTCACCGATTTGACGTCAAGGAGAATATCCTTCGGAGGGCCATTCAAGCTAAACAGCTCAAATTTAAAGACAGAACTGTCTATATTTTCCCCGATTTCCCTCCCGAGATCGCAAAAAGGAGGGCAGCTTATTACGACATGTAACGACTGCTGAGGTCCAGATCTGATGTGAAATATGGGCTGAAAGGTCTAACCAGTTTTCGAATTATGCACGACGGCATTGAGCACAAGTTCGATACACCAGCTGAAGCGATGGACTATGTAAAACAGCACATAATGACCCCTTAAGAAAACTGGACACAAGCTGTTTGGCTGAGGTAACGTTAACTGAAAGTTCAGCTGGTTTAAATAGCTGCCTGACTTCCAAACATCTACCACTGGAAAAAAAGATTTGTTTTGTTCTTACTAATTGGTTTGTTATAAGCCTGTTATAGGATTCATTATACTACCTGCTCTGTTATGTTCAGTTAAAGGGAACTAATTTTCTCGGGAGTTCTCGCTGTGGCTCAATAGTAAAAATTAATAGCTGAGAATAATGTAGAGTTAACCCC